GTATGGATGGGTCCAGCAACAATCGCACATTTCTTAAAATGCACTTCCCTGAAAATGACCCTTTGTCTACTGAAATGATTGCTGTGCATTACAAGAACCCTTCAAGAAAAATGATATTTATTATGGATCCATGCCATCTAATCAAAAAACTGCGTAACAGCATACTTAGTAGTGGTATTCAAGAACATCACCAAAGGTTATATTAACTGTTGATGGCAAAACAATTCAATGGCAGATGTGGATTGATGCCTTTAACTGGGACCAAGATAATCATACATTTAAAATTCATTACAAGTTATCTCAGGAGCATATTTATCCAAACAATGCACAAAAGATGAGAAATAAATTGGCATTTGAAACCCTGGACTCTGAAATGTTACATTTAATGAAAACTTACAGTAACACTCTTGGTGAAGCTGGGAAAGCTGCACTGTGTGGTGCCATAGAATTTCTGGAGCATACTAGTACACTGGTTTCCTTTTTCCAGGATCAGCGACCTGTTAAGGACATGAGTGATACAAGATTACTACAGCTAATGGAATCATACAACTGGTTTAAGTCATGGGAGAAAGAAGTTTGTCAGAGTGACACAACTGCCAAGCGTTATAAGAGTTTAATCACTATGGAAACCAGAGAGGATCTTGACTTCATGTATTATGGGACCATGTCGCTTATTAAATTCTGTATTGAAAACATTCACACTGAAATTGTCCCTGCAAGATTAAATAGTGACATAATTGAAAATATTTTCTGTCAACAAAGATCTCTATATCATGGACCTACAACAAATCCTACTTACAATTCCTATAGAACTGGTATAAACAGTGTTATAATTGGAGAGACAGTGGTGTCCAGGAAGTCAAATTCTGGGGGAAAACGTGCATCTTCGTTTGTTGCTGAAATGCCCTCAAAAAGAATTAGACTGTAAACGAAGAAGAAATATTGATTGTTAAACATGTCATTTGCTAAATTTGACAGATTAAATGATACATATATTTATTTAGACTAGTAATTAAATATAATAATAATTAGTTGTTATTAATTCTAGGAAGAACTCCAAGGCACTGAAAAAAGAAATCACTTGCATGCACATATAACAGGCCAATAGCAGGAACACTTATAGTGGGGGGGGGGGGGGACTTTAAAAATTTTATATTTGGTCAAAAGAGAATTGTGAAAAGGAGTGGATATTATTCAATTTTCTTCTAATTAAAATAAAATTCAAAAGGGGAAATTATAATAAAGCCATTTCTTTAAGGACCCTCTTTACACTGCACACTAAAGAGTTCCAATTCCATGGTATTTTTGCCCAGTAGTTCCTACCACATCCCCCTGTTTTCCAAGGGTCTAAATTATCTAGGTATTAACTTGTTTCACATGTGTTTCTCTTCGGATTTACCTGGTAAGTTTTTTCACAGGATCATTGATCAAATAAACTCCAAACATCACAAGATCAGATATGATGGAAGAGAACATTTATTAGTGGCCATGGAGTGTCAAAAATATCAGACACACCTTCCTGTTTGTCCTAGGAAAAACAGAAAAAAATTTATGGTGAAATGCACAAAGCTAAAATTAAGAATTGATTGTCAATCAATTATAAACATGTAAACTGCATAAAGAAACTGCAGGGATCTTTCTTATATATAAGTGACATAACTGGAATGTATTTCTATATATATATATATATATATATATATATATATATATATATATATATATATATATATATATATATATATATATATATATATATATATATTTAGAAATTATATATTCAGTGCATACTTACTTTTCATTTCATTGAGTCCTGACCTTTATTCACAACACTTCTTACAATACCAGTCTTCATGATCTTTGATTGTTTTAATAGTTTCATCATCTATATTCTGACAAAGTCTATCATACCACTGATCACAGAGGTCACACTGAAGCCATTCAACTTCATCATTTCTCACACGGCCACAACTGGAACACACAATTTCATCACCTTTAAGTTCTGCTCCCATAGAATGTGTTTGTTTTTTCTTCTTATTGTAAACTTGCTTGATTTTTCTTTTCCTCCCGGTGGTTTTCCTCTCTGACTGGGTTGGTGCTCTACTAGATGAAACATTTGAAGTCTCTTCTTCTACAGGCAAATCTGGTTCTGGGTTGGCACATGTTTCTTCACACTTTGTAAGAGCAGTAATGTTAGGAATACACAGACAGTTAGGAATATGACGAATAAGGCTGTCCATTATTGAAGATTTTGTACTTTTCATTGACTGTGTTAAGTCATAGGCTTTAGCAAATATCAAGTAGTTGTTTTTTAGTGAAACTTCTGAAAGTTAAAGCTCCTCTATCAAGTAGTGATGATTGAATTTTCAAATGGGAACGGTGTTTACCTTCAGAGTCATCATTGATCATTTGGGTCATGGAGATTTTGGTACCAGTACTGTCTTTTGATGTACTTGATCCCTCTATCACCCGCTTTCTCAAAGTGTCTGTTTTTTGTTTTTTTAAAGCTCTTAGCACATCTTTCCGAAACTGGTTATCAGCAACACGACAAAATCTCCATATCAAGTCAAAATAAAGTTCTTTTAAACTACTCAGTGCCATATTTTTATCACATTTCAAAAAAGTTTCATTGAATTCAAAGTTTTGTAACAAATGTTCAAACTTGTTGATTAAAGCCTCATTCTTGGAAAGCTCATCTTGTACAGAATTTAAAACATTAGAACCTTCTATATGAAATATCTTTTCATAAAGTTCATGCCTAATCTTGTCCACTTCTATAAAAAAATCTAAAACATTGTCCTTCACATTTGTTAGACTCTGAGAAATGTTTTGGAGTCTTCTCGTCTCTTCAAGAGTTTCTTTATACATACTGTTTTGTGCCAACTTGTCGTAAGTAGATGTTAAAAAATCCAACATTTTAACTTTTACAAAACAGGAAGTAACATTCATTAATTTGTCTTTCTTATACATGTTATTTCTCCCTAATTTGATGTAATGATGCTTTGATTTGGCAACACATCTCCCACAGATATATCTCATATTTGCCTACACTTGCCGAGTCAACTTTCAGATAAAGTTGTTTTTGAACTGGTGCAGGAGTAGCTTTTAATGATTTTGCCTTTTCCTCCAAAATAAAGTTTGAAACAATATCAAATACTTTGCTAAAAATCACAAAATCATACTGTTCTGCATTGTGATGAATACATTCTTCAATTAATGCTTTGTACTCACCAGAACTTGTAAACTTATACAATTCACAGTAATATTTGGTCCACATTTTAGAATCAGGATTTTTTCCCTCACTTGCTACACAGTTTTCAAGATATATTACTGTGAGTTTCTCATAAAGTTTCTTCAAAAAAATTTTTGTTCCACTTTCATTTCTTTCAAGAAGATCAGTCAGTCCTGCATGTGTAATTCTCTGTTCATCAGTCTGTACATGCATATTTTGTATACATGATCTTATCTTGTTCATGTCTATGGGACATTCTGTGTGATACTCCTCTGAGGAATCTTCTGGAGTAACATGAAAGGGAACATTTTCTGATGATAGTAGAGTACACATTCTATCAATTTTGCGTATTTCTTCTGCATCAAAGTCTGACATTTCCGACTCAGAATTTAGGAATGGGCTGTCAAATTCAGTATTTAATTCTTCTTCCAGTGAAAATGAAATATTACAACATGCCAGTTGTGGAAGGAAGGGAAATGTTGCTTTATCATAGAAACCAAAAATAGCTGCATCTGGTTTTAGAACATTGCAAGGCTGGAAGTTTATTAATCTCAGACCTTTCTTTTTTCTTGCACGCCCAATTCCAACTCCTAACATGCCCGCTTTGAATATATGTGAACAATCTACTTCCACTCTGTCCAGAGATAATCCTTGAGCTTTGTGTATTGTTATTCCAAAGGACAAAACCAATGGAATCTGTAATCTACTAGCTACAACATGTCATCTACAGAACTATAAACAGTGAAAATTTCTTTTCTTATTTCTGTCACAGTGTTATTAAATTTTACAGTCACAGCATTATCTGACATACTTAGAACTCTTCCTTGAAGACCATTGACCAATGTACTGCTCAAATTCTTGACAAGCATAACAGGGCAATTTTCTTTAAGATACAAAATTTTTGGTGCAGGGAGTTTTTCTAGCAAATTAGTGTTACCCTCATCTGTTGCTTTAAATATATGCATATCTCCTGGTAGGTCAATTAACAGTGAGGAATTATATATTTCTTTGTCAAAATTTCTTGCGAAAAGTCTTATGGGATCTTCTCCAGGGGGAAGAGATCTTTGCAGACGCGTAAGCAGATTCAAAGTGTCAATTGGTATCTTGCCTTTAGAAACATCGTTTATGTATGGCACGCCAATTTCACAAAAATTAGCGAAACTTAGTTTCACAGTTGATAAACTAGGTTTATCGACTGTAAACCATAGTTTACAAACCGTGAACTATAGTTAACGATTCGTTAACTATAGTTTTCATCTGTAAAACTATATTTAACGGTTGTTAACTATAGTTTACGAATGCTAATCTAAGTTTATCTGTCTGTAATTAAACGTTAACAATAGATTTTGTTGATAAACATAGATTCACATCTGTAAACTATAATTTACAATCGTGAACTATAGTTAAGAGTTGTTAATCATAGTTTCACAAATCGTGAAACTATATTTATCAGATAAACTATGTTTTACATTCGTTAATTATAGTTTTCGGCCGTAAACTTCAGTTAACGATCATTTATACTCATAAACTATATTTAACAAACGTAAACTATAATTCACGATCGTGAACGATAGTTTTGAGAGATAAACTATATTTTACATTTGTCAATCATAGTTTATCATGATAAACTATAATTCACATTCGTAAACTATAGTTTACAGTGGTGAAATATAGATTATGTATAAAAAAAATCTGTTAACAATGGTTTTCAATTTGAATTCTCGAGGAACCAATCGTGAGAGGCAATACAAAATGTGCGCCATTCTAGAAAATGGCTCTTCAAAGGGAAGCACGAGCGAATTTGCCATCCGTACAAAACTGCATTAGCAGAATTAATTCTCTCCTGGATAATCTTAGAAGTCAAGCCACCAGCGAATCCTTTGATGCTAACACTGCACGTTCATCTTTGTCTGACCTACGACGTAACATAGAAAGGTTGGAGTCGGCAGGAGTAGATGTCAGTGATTTAGTCGAATGTCTAGAAAACTTAACGACAAATTTCCTAGATCCTGTTACGAATCCACATCATGCACAAGATACCCCTTGTCTTGCTGATAATAACAGTAAGTTTACTATAAATAAATATATCTACTTAATAATCACAGCACACAACTAAAACTTTTTGTGTACCTGATCTAATAAAACGTATAGGTACCGCTGTCAGATTTACCCCACCCCCCTCCTTCCCCTGAGATAAACTGAGAAATATTAGAGCGTCCTTCATCCTACGAACCCTTAACGATCGAATTCATTGGACGTGGTCTGCACTTAAGAGCAGAATAATTTCAACCTAATTCGTAAGATAAAATTTAAAAGATTTATTGAGACCAATATATATTGTGAGCTCATGAGAGCATGCAAACACACAATAAAGAGTCAATATATTGACAGTAGGAACAGGTGACGGTAAAGTTTCGTACTAACGACCCATCAAATTTCTTTTTTAAAAAAAAAGCGAGAGATATTCCCTGTTTGATGTCATATTTTATGTCGAAAAATGAAAAGAATAATTATGGGATATATATGCAGTGTAGCACAGTGCTTACTGAGAAAAATGATGTGCAACGTGTAGGTGTCACTATGATGCTTATGTAAATGCGAAACTAAGACACGTGGTCATTTGCAGAGGAAATTCAACTTGAAAGCAGTAGGGCTTCGAAGAAGCTGTGACCGTGTGTATCTAAGAGGGAAGCCCCAGATCAATTGGTGAATTTTCATTAGGGCATTCATTGATCTACAAAATACTGTGTGTTTTATACCGCTCGCTCGGGACTGGGATGGGCTGTATGTGTGCGACAGAGGCCCAATCTTAGAAAAACAAGTCAAAATCTGGGGAGGCCTCCAAGAGCATTTTCAGTACATGTGCACTCTAATATGTTGATTACGTTATATGTTGACAAATTTTTTGAGCTATAGGTATATGAAGTGCAATTAATTAGCTCCCAAGAAACTGTCCCCATGTATCTGTTTTTATATTGACCTCATGCATATATATGCCTAGCCCCTTGACACATGTTTGGCATTTAAAAAACTATTCCCTGCCACCAACTGCGTGGTTCCCAGGTGCATTCTTGCCCAACACCATTGAACTGGAATATATCATACCCTGTAGTGTATAGGCCTACTATATTTCATATAATATTTTTGTACAAATATATGCCTCACTCTTTATAAACAATACATACATGTAAGTATGAAAAGTTGCTTCAAAATCTTATAGAATATGAAAAGGTTATTGCAACCCCAAAATACCTATAATAATACCAATAAAGTTAGTGTAAAATTTAAGTTTAACATGTAAATGAATAATGATCTGCCTATACACCACTTTCTAAATTTTATTCCAAGAACCTTAAATTTCAGTTTATTAATAATTCCTTTGTTGTGCAATTAATTTCATCAGCTAGATAAATCCTATTTAGCCAATCATCATACTCAAACCCTAATAGAATGATTTTTTCCCCTTCTTTATACAAGTAGTACAGAGAGAACCAAGTTCTACAGGAAGGGGAAGACATCGCCTACAAATTGACATGGACAAGTTGAAGGAGTTGATTGATCTCGGATTTTCAGTTACTGCAATAGCAAAGAATGGACTTTTAGGTGGAAAAATGCACCCCAACACCATTTACAACCGTTTAAAGGATGAAAATAAAACTGTGAGGTCAAAATACAGCAATTTGAATGATGAGGAGCTAACTGCATTGATCAGAACTTATAACAGAGATCATCCAAATGCAGGTAGAATTTGGATACTGGCAATACATGCCTGTACAGTTATTTTTAAAGGCATTTATCTTTTGAGTTGAGAAATGAAACCAATACACACTCATATTTATCTTTATATAATCATGTATAGAATATTAAAAAAAATATTTCATTTAGGTGCAGAAGAAGTTTTAGCAGCCTTGAAAGTTCAGGGAGTTTTGATTCAAAGAAAAAGGTGTCGTGAACTCTTGTCCAATATCGACCCAATTGGAACTGCAACTCGTTGGTCCCGCACTATACAGAGAAGGCAATATCGTGTCCCATCTGCCAATTTCCTATGGCATGTTGATACACATCACTCACTGATCAGGTAATTTGTTGACAATCACCCATTATTCAGTAAGGGTGCAATGAAATACCTCTATTTTGTTATTCGTTTCCTTGAAGTCTGTTACAAGTAAAGCAATCTGAAATGCCATTTTTTTTAATAGACTTTGAAAATTAGAGGTCACATCATTTTGCTTCAATCTTTTACAAGATGTATCTTCACAATATTTTTTGTGATTACGGAAATAACACACCTTGACATTGTGAAGATGTACAAGATCCAAGCAATATGTTTATGAGAAACAGTATTTTGTATTCATTCTACTCATTAAATCCTTATTCCATAAAGGATGTGTAACTGTAGATCGAGAATTTCATTTATTCCCAACAATCATAACAGTGATAACTTTAGAAAAGTTATTTTTGAGAACTTAAATTTGGAAATTGATGCATATCAATATGTTTCATCAAACACTGGTCAAAATGTTTTATCATTCCTATTATACTGTTATTCAAGCTAGTTTATATGCTAAATTTGATTAAGGAGTTCTCCGTATATCTGATCAATACATAGGGCTCACAACGGGTGTGACCAGTCAACAGGGGAATAATACATATATGTACATGAGAGTTGGTCAAAAACAGGTGAAATCTTGAATATGTATTTCTCTTTTAGATGGAATATTGTGGTGCATGGTGGCATTGATGGATACAGTAGAATGATAACATATCTTAGAGCATCATCATGCAATACATCAAAAGGAGCAGCGTGTTTCTTTCTAAAAGGGGTCACTAGGTATGGAATACCTAGCAGAGTGCGTGCAGATTGTGGAAGAGAATTTGTAGATGTTGGACACTTTATGACAGCCATTAATGGAACAGAGAGGGGAAGCTTCATTACAGGAAAGTCTGTCCATAATCAGAGGATCGAACGACTGTGGAGAGACGTTTACATGAAGGTTCTGGTAACATATTATCGACTTTTCCATTACATGGAGGATAAGCAAATTTTGGATGTGAATAACCCAGTCCATAGGTTTGCTCTTCAGTACACCTTCATACCAAGGATTGATGCAGCACTTAAAGACTGGTCCACAATTCACAACAACCACAGGCTCAGAACAGAAAACAACAAAACACCCCAGATGATTTGGCTAGAGTCTTTGGCCTGTTTTGCAAACAGCAATTCAACAGCTGTTAAAAACACTCAGGATGACCAGATGGGCCGTGTTCCAGAAATTTGTGAACGCTTAAACATATCAAATGATGAAAAATGCCATTTGAAACCAAGGGATGAGTGTCCGTTATCTGAAACAGACAGGGAGACTTTGGATGAAGCAGTAAATGTGAAGAAAGATTCGGAATCGTATGGACTTGACATTTTTGGGGAGGTGATGGATTTCATTTCCAGCCATATGATATAACGTACTGATAATGCACCTTTGTACAACTGAAAATTTGTATCTCAATTCAGGTGTCCAAAACCTGTGTGCAACACAAACCTTCCTGGGTTTCATGGAATCAAAGCATTCAGTGCAATTTGATTAAAATTAGATCTTTGCTACTCTCCAAAATTTTTTAAACCGACTATTGGAATTTCCTAGAGTAACAAAGATATGATTTTAATCAGATTGGCATTAGTACTACATGCAATACCTAGTTTTGGATTAATTGGTTTAATTTTACACAAACCCCTTTTATTTGAAAAGTTTCCAAAAGCTGTGCCAATTCATTTCATCACTCTGTAATGTGATCAAAATTGTCTTATTATATGACAATAAATGACAAGTATGCTACCATAGATGTTAACTAGTTGCTTAATATCATGCTACCATAGTTTACTAGTTGCTTAATGTCACAAGTGCTAATGCTTAATGCATTAAAGGAAAGTTTTACATGTATCATTGCACTTACATAACCAGAAGTCTCTGATGAGACTGTAGCTCTACTGGTCTGTTTGTATAACAAAAGAAAAGTAGCACTTGGATTTGAAACATTGCAACATGCAACAATAAATAGAATTATGTATCTTAATGTAGTCTACTTTTGTGACAAGTTATACTGAAATCAAATGAAAACTAGGAGTAGTAGCGTTTTGAAAGTATTTCACGGAAATTTCTATCTTTAGTACCGGTAACCATGACAACACCATTCACCCAAATAAAAAAAACAGAAATACATATTATGTATCGTAGTGTATTCTAACTGTGTGCCAAGTTATATTGAAATCGGACCAAAACTGTAGGAGGAGTAGCGTTTTAAAGGAATTTCACAGAAATTTCTATTTTTAGTAACCATGGCAACACCGTCCATCGAAATCAAAAACCGATGCACTAAATTATGTATCTTAGTGTAGTCTACTTGTGTGCCAAGTTATATTGAAATCGGACCAAAACTGTAGGAGGAGTAGCGTTTTAAAGGAATTTCACAGAAATTTCTATTTTTAGTAACCATGGCAACACCGTCCATCGAAATCAAAAACCGATGCACTAAATTATGTATCTTAGTGTAGTCTACTTGTGTGCCAAGTTATATTGAAATCGGACCAAAACTGTAGGAGGAGTAGCGTTTTAAAGGAATTTCACAGAAATTTCTATTTTTAGTAACCATGGCAACACCGTCCATCGAAATCAAAAACCGATGCACTAAATTATGTATCTTAGTGTAGTCTACTTGTGTGCCAAGTTATATTGAAATCGGACCAAAACTGTAGGAGGAGTAGCGTTTTAAAGGAATTTCACAGAAATTTCTATTTTTAGTAACCATGGCAACACCGTCCATCGAAATCAAAAACCGATGCGCTAAATTATGTATCTTAGTGTAGTCTACTTGTGTGCCAAGTTATATTGAAATCGGACCAAAACTGTAGGAGGAGTAGCGTTTTAAAGGAATTTCACAGAAATTTCTATTTTTAGTAACCATGGCAACACCGTCCATCGAAATCAAAAACCGATGCACTAAATTATGTATCTTAGTGTAGTCTACTTGTGTGCCAAGTTATATTGAAATCGGACCAAAACTGTAGGAGGAGTAGCGTTTTAAAGGAATTTCACAGAAATTTCTATTTTTAGTAACCATGGCAACACCGTCCATCGAAATCAAAAACCGATGCGCTAAATTATGTATCTTAGTGTAGTCTACTTGTGTGCCAAGTTATATTGAAATCGGACCAAAACTGTAGGAGGAGTAGCGTTTTAAAGGAATTTCACAGAAATTTCTATTTTTAGTAACCATGGCAACACCGTCCATCGAAATCAAAAACCGATGCACTAAATTATGTATCTTAGTGTAGTCTACTTGTGTGCCAAGTTATATTGAAATCGGACCAAAACTGTAGGAGGAGTAGCGTTTTAAAGGAATTTCACAGAAATTTCTATTTTTAGTAACCATGGCAACACCGTCCATCGAAATCAAAAACCGATGCACTAAATTATGTATCTTAGTGTAGTCTACTTGTGTGCCAAGTTATAATGAAATCGGACCAAAACTGTAGGAGGAGTAGCGTTTTAAAGGAATTTCACAGAAATTTCTATTTTTAGTAACCATGGCAACACCGTCCATCGAAATCAAAAACCGATGCACTAAATTATGTATCTTAGTGTAGTCTACTTGTGTGCCAAGTTATAATGAAATCGGACCAAAACTGTAGGAGGAGTAGCGTTTTAAAGGAATTTCACAGAAATTTCTATTTTTAGTAACCATGGCAACACCGTCCATCGAAATCAAAAACCGATGCACTAAATTATGTATCTTAGTGTAGTCTACTTGTGTGCCAAGTTATATTGAAATCGGACCAAAACTGTAGGAGGAGTAGCGTTTTAAAGGAATTTCACAGAAATTTCTATTTTTAGTAACCATGGCAACACCGTCCATCGAAATCAAAAACCGATGCACTAAATTATGTATCTTAGTGTAGTCTACTTGTGTGCCAAGTTATATTGAAATCGGACCAAAACTGTAGGAGGAGTAGCGTTTTGAAAAATTGTTTACAGACAGACGGACAGACAGACAGACAGACAGACAGACGGACGGACGACGGACACCTTACTATCGCATAAGCTCTTCTGGTCTCTGACCAGTAGAGCTAATAAAAAGTAACAACAGAAGTTACAGTAATTTATTATGAACCTTGAACAACGCAACATCTACAGTTAATTGTCTCCAGTACATTTCACCTCTTTTCTCCATATTAGTAGATCATCCAATGGTTTGAAAAAAGTGATATCCAATTTGGGTTGGTCTTTATGTATAATGCTTATACACTTAAGAAGTGAGCTTGTCACACGATTTTTCGAATGGATAAAACAACATGGCGAAAATAACACTTTATATGATACCCTTTTAAATAGAGGAAATTCTTAAATTAGAAAGAAAATTTCCCTGGAAGCCCTAAACACTGCTCACTTATTCAGTGGTAGTTTCAGGCAGAGTGATCTGCCCTTTGATGTAAAACATAAAAAAAAAATGATAATCTACAGTAAATAACAATTTAAAATTGATTTAAGTATTCTTAACATTATATCATACTAAGATTAAGTAATTAAAAAATAATTTGCATGTATTTTCTCTGTGTATACTGTACAAACAATTATTAATTCTGTAAACTAACATGTCATATCTTTGAACAATTTTCCTGGAGAAATAAGGCAGGCACATAATATGTTGACAATGTTCTCGAGTAACACTACATTTAATGTGATATAATTTTCTGAAAGTCCAAAAATTAATTTTTTTAAGTGTTTATACAGCTTCCTTAATTGTTTCCATAACTACAAAGTCTGTTTAAACAAATTCTAATTTTTTTTGCAGTTACACTGACTTGATTCAAGGAATTATCCTTCTTTTATTTATGTTTTACTTTAACCAATATAAAAATGTCAAATAGTATACCTGGTACATTCATTCTACAGTTTGAAAATTAATTAAATAATTTCAGAGATGCAAAACAAAGAAAATTATTTTGTCTATTAAAACCTATAATAGACAGACATGAAGATTCCAAACTTCATTTGTGGGGTAGACAATAAACATGTCATCCAACTTTGTACAGGTGATATAACTAAAAAAGAACATTATTGAGATCCTGACCTTAATTCTGACCTTGATCTCTGATTGAGTGACCAAACATTTTCCTGTCTTGGAGAATATGAAAGTAAATCAATAAAAGAATACATGGTTTATTGCATTACAATATAAAACAAGAGTACATGGGCCACATCTACCCGAGTCACTATGGCTCTAGCTCCTGTTCTTCATTAGATTCACTAGGATCATAAATTGAAATGCTCAATCTTCACTACCTGAGGATTCTTCCATATAAATATAACCAATCATGGCTTTGCTATCCTTAAAGAAGAAGATTTTAAAGATTTTGCCGATGTATTCAAATGTTAAACATGATCATTGAGGTGGTGGTGGTGGGGAGGGGGGGGGGGGTAGGGTGGAAGATCTGATCAAACTAGAATCTACACTCCTGAGGAAGCTTCCACATTAACCCAGGATGTTTAACATTTGGCTTCATTTGCTGTTCTTGAGATTTTCCTATATAATTCCAATATAAAACTTTGATCACCCATGATGATCCCCCCGTATCCCTGTAAGGTCATGATTAGAACATACCTCAGTATGCACCGAGTATACACTGAGTCAGGAAGCTTTTACATAAGTTTATCTTTTCTGGTGCAGTGGTTCTTGAGAAGATTTTTCAAATGACCCAACCCAATTTTTAGTCTTTCTTTATTATTTCACCTTTAATGGGGCGAGGCCCTTTAGTTGAATAAATTTATATCCCCATCACCCAATTATACTCTGCGCCAAATTTGGTTGAAACTGGTTCAGTGGTTCTGGAAAAGAAGATGAAATTTTTACAAGTTTATGAAGATGACAACAAGAAGGACAACACACAAATTTTGATCAGAAAAGCTCACTAAGGCCTTCACCTCAGGAGAGTTAACAAGAGGCCCAAGGGCCACATCGCTCACCTGAGCACACTGGCTAGGAAGAAGCAGAAATCAATTCATTGTATCGAAAAATTCTAAGGGGGGGGGGGGGGGACTTAAATTTACACTACCTCAGGATGCTTCTATATCAATATAACTAATCATGGCTTTGCTGTTCTTAAACAGAAGAATTTTAAAGATTTTTTTCCTAAGTATTCCTATGTAAAACTCTGATTGAACATTGTGGCCCCACCCTACCCACTGTAAATTTGAACAAATTGAATCTACAGTACCTGAAGATGCTCCTATAATAATATGACTAATCATGGCTTTGCTGTTCGTGAGCAGCAGATTTTTAAAGATATTTCCTATATTATCTGATGGTAAACTTTGACCCCCCCCACCCCTGTTGTGGCCCTGCTCTACTCCCAGGGGCCATGATTGGAACATATTTTAATCTACACTCCCTGAGGATACTTCTGTATGAATATGTCTAATTATGGCTTAGCTGTTCTTGAGAAGAAGACTTTTAAAGATATCTCCTATATTATCTGATGGTAAACTTTGACCCTCCCCCTGTTGTGGCCCCTCCCTATCCCTGGGGGTTATGATATGAACAAATTTGAATCTAGAGTATGTTAGAAGCTTCCACATAAGTTTCATCTTTTCTTGCCCAGTGGTTCTCGAGAAGAAGATTTTTAAAAGATGCCACCAAATTTTCCCGATTTCTTAATTATCTTTCCTAGAAAAAGGGTGCATAACTTCCTGTGAACAAACTTGAATCCCCTTCACCCAAGGATGCAAGTTTGGTTGAAACTGGCCCAGTTGTTCTTAAGAAGAAGTCGAAAATGTGAAAAGTTTACAGATGACATTTGGACACTGGACACTCTTTGATCAGAAAAGCTCACTTGAGCCTCGGCTCAGGTGAGCTAAAAAGTGATGATAAACTGATGGAGTGCTGCTGAGCAGGTGCATGATAAAAGGCCATAATGACAAACAAAATGTTTAGAATAACAAAAATCCCTCAGTATTTAAAACCCCAAATTCCATGCTGTTCTTGAAATCTTTGTAGGTGGAATTTGAGGTTGGTAGATGGAGAGTATTTGTGCATGTAACTGCTTTGGGCAGTTTTTCTTGCCAAAAACAAATGCTTGGTTTGGGAGTAAATCCAAGTGGTGGGGGCTCCTTTGCTCCTGTGGCAAAATGAAGGATCTTTGAATAAGTCAAAGGTGTATCACCTTCTGAAAAAAAAAAACATGAAAATATATTTCATATCACGGATCTATGAATACATCTATTTTATTCGTACCGATTGCTCTACACAGTTTATTTGGACTACAGAGAAAAAGAGTAAGATGTATTTATGTGCAGTAGGCAGGCCTCTAAAATTTCGGTGCCAGCTGGCGCCTTATCAAAAAAATTTAGCAAATTTTTAGTCGCCTGGCCGTTTTTCTAAGGCGCCAACTTTAAAAGAATATAGGGACCCATGACATGCCTAAGAAAACACGACATGTCCATTGCTAAAAATAATTTTCTCTTCTTTTAAATTTCTTTTCAATTTTTCAGAAAAACTGTTAAAAATGGGAAAATTCCCGTAATTCGACATCGCCAAGTCAATTTAAAATGGTCGCCAATTTGGCGACCAATGGAAAAATTTTAGGCGCCAATCAAAAAATTCTAGGCGCCATGGCGACTAAATTAGTCGCCAGTTAGAGCTCTGGTAGGTGAACTGGGCACCACAAAATAAAAACACACATTTAACAACCCTTATGGAAATGAAATTATAAGTTTAGTATGAATTTTTTGCACTACAGCTGTACCTTCTACTTCTTCTAAAAAGTCTCTCCACCAACCAAGAACCACATTTTGTGCATTTCTCTGGTTTGAACCTTTTTCTGCAAGCTGATATTCAAAAAGGCTTTCAAAAGATTCTATTGAAAACTTGATCTTCTTGTATACGAACAGCTTATGCAAACTTTGAAAATTTTTTACAATATCCAACCTGTTGAGCCCATCACAGAACCTGAAAATTGAATGTATAAACATGTAAAACTAAATTGCATTTCAGTGTGACAAATTTTAATTACAATAGTATATGAGGCATCAATATCATCATACATATATAATATCTACATTATATACATATATATATATATATATATATATATATATATATATATTGTAAACATCTGAAAACAAGGAAAGTGCTTACGTTTTAAGAAGAAGAGTTGTCTTTTTATTTTATTTTTATATTGATTACCAGACACTGTGAAATTTCTTATTTTTGGATATATATATATATATATATATATATATATATATATATATATATATATATATATATATATATTCATATGCTGGGTCCCTCTGATTAAGAAAAAATCACCGTTTGTATGCCTGTGCAGATCTGTCAAAGAGATACCAGTGGACCACCCTACAAACCATTGCCTCTGTCTCTTCTGCAGTTTGACAGACTGCATCTATACCTGCAAGACTTAGTAAGCCTGATAGTTTTTCTATGGATTTTTCTCTGGAAATTTGGGTTTTGGCTCCAAGGATCTATAATGAACACATGAGCATTTTACATTTTCAATGATATAAAAAATATAGCTCTAAATGGTATGGTATGTATAATGACAACTTGTGCATGCCTCATTCTACATAAAATGATTTCTTTTATCAGGCAAATCTGTATTGTTACTCAACAGTTTTAAAAACAATTTCTAACCTTTTCTAATTTTGATTTTAGTTCCTCATTTGGCATATCTTCTATGGTCACCTTTACAGATGCTGGCCCTCTAAGAAGTGCTTTAACAAATGAAGGATCAAAGCATCGAGGCGCTGGACCTCCATGAACCAGAGATAATCCAATGACTATTCCCGCATAGTAGTAGTCATCATTGTCAAATGCTATTAAAATCAGAAATTCTTTAAATACTTTCATAATGAATAAATGAATCAAGCACTAGTAGTACAATTGGTACTTTATAATTATAATAATTACTAGCTACTCTGTAAAACAATATTTTCAGTACCTTTTTTGTTCCACGACAAGTATTTGGATGTCAGAGATCCTTCAAACAGTGAGGAGTTGAGGGTATACTCCATCAAAAGATCTAAAAATTCCCTCTTGGGACCACCTTGGTCAATCCCTTCTTCCATTTCTCCATAATAATCAGAAAACTTAATAAGAAGGTCATTAAATGGCATAAAATCTTTCTTTTTAAGTTTTCTGATGGTGCACTCCCAAACATTTTGTCTGTTTACATTGAAGCGCGTAACAGCAGATGTTTGAATTTTGGATGACAATGTTGTCAGGGTGAACAAAGGGTCAGCTCTGTAAAATAATTGGATGATCATCAATTAATAGCAACAAAAAGTACATACAACTTTTCTTAGTACACTCATTTTCCAATGTATCTATTGTTACACTTACTCCTCAGGCTCTGCAGTCAATTCAGGATAATTTGTTTTGTCTATTTCTGATTCAGAGGATGAATCGGATGAAATACATGCTACATCAACATAATTCCTATAAAATATAAATTGAAATGGTTTTTCTGATATAGCAAAGAAATATTAATTCTACCATACCTGTCTGATATCATAAATTGTGCTGACAAGGTATAGTCAATTCCCATTACATTGAAGTCTATAATATTGTATAAAGTATTTTATATAGGACCCTGTTCCAAAGGTCTTATTAATCTCCATGTGAAATTTAACTAGAATAACTTTAAAAAATTAACTTGCTACAAAGTGAACCACAAGTGCTTCTGTTCTCTCCACAGAAAGAAAAATACCTGTAAGTGTCTGGAATATCTGGAAGGGAATCATCATCAGAGCTCTCAACAGTCAATACACTGTTCTAAAAGAAAATGCACTAATATAAGTATAATAACAATTTGAAGCAATAAAACATTAAATGTGGCATGTATAAAAGTTCTCTAGCTTACTTGCTGTATGTTTGATTTTGGAATTAGCCAATCCCTCATTTTTACATTACAAAGTGCTGCAGCTTGTCTTTGGGGACGAGGAACAGCAGAGGATGTTGAGGGATGTTGGTCATTTTCCTTAAAGCTATTTGCTTCTTCAGGTTCCTCAAGTGGTACTTCATCCTGGAACATAATGGATTAAAGTATATAGCTATGTAAATGTTTGATTTGGTCATAGAGAGCATTAATTTACAACACAACCAGAACAAGAGATGTTTGTGAAACACTTATGACCAATCCCCACCCCCCTTTCTAAGTCAAAGGGGCATAACTCTGTAAAAAAATTGCTCGATCATACCCAAAATAGAACTTGGCCTAGATATTTTTATGCTAAATCTGTATACTAAATTTCATTTCTGTATGTACATGCAACCTCTGCGAAGAAAATGAACGGAAACTGTTGGTGGACCAACCGACAGACAGACAGCAGCAAAGCAATATGCCCTCCCTTCTTCCAAGGGGTGCATAAAAATACTTCAACCTTTAACATTAGAATACCATACTTTAATTACCTCGCTTAGCCATGTTACTTGCAACACTGAACTTGAGAAAAGACCAACATCCCTCAAACACCCATAATGTAAATGGGAATATAAAGGCTTTTCCATTCCAGGAATAGCTACTTTAAAATACTCTGAGGAAGATGGCATACTGCCAACAAAATTCATCAAAACCTGCAATATAAATGAAGAAAAATGTAATATTATAATGTTACATCTTGCCAGTTACAACACCTCTAATATTTAGCTTTACCATGTGACCCAAAGAGATCAGATTATTAAAAAATATTTTTTGAACTTATAAAACATCTTCTGTTGATATGATAAAAAATTCCACATTTGTTTCATTTCAATGCTATTTTTTCCAACTGATTCGGTATCAGAACCATGTATATATTCATTAGGCTTAATCTTATTTGCGGGGTAGAATAAAGCTATCTTACCTCAGTAGGTGTGGTCTGTAAAAATCTTCTTGTTACTGTCCATTGATGACTTCGAATTTTGAGGGATATACCCTCTTTTGGTTCCGCTGGTACTTCTGATCTTCTTTCATCCCTCAGCTTAAAAAAAAAATGCTTATTGATGTACAAAGTGTAACATACATACGTAATGCTAAACTATGACGTGATTTATCTTAATGAACATTAGTGATTGTTATAGTAGAATTAACTTCATTAGATATTGTGTACATGTATATTGCTCATTACTCAATCATGACATTAATATAAGGATTTTTATGACCCAAGATGATTCTAAAAAGTGCTCACTTTCTGCAATTCAAGGTCTCTCTGTTCTTGCTCTTTGACCTGTTGATCCTTAAAAGAAATTTATTTTCCTGAAGTTAATTAATATCTCAAATGACTGTTAAACTTATTTTTCAGACCTAATTTTTTTTGCAATGTCTTATCATATTCATAAAAAAAATCTAATAAAACTTCAACATTTTGTAAAAAAAAAAAAAACAAAAAAAAAAAACAACCAAAAAAAAAAAACTCTTACACTTAATGAAGTAGCCAAATCATCTTTTGGAAGATGATTTTTGGTATCCTGTAGATGTGCAATAAGGTTTCGGAATTTTAATTTTCACCCTAGGGGTCAAATGGGGGTTTTCTACAAAAAAATCCTGGTTCCCAGAACTGCTCTATTATTTAGCACAATAGCCAAATTGGTTTTTGAAAAATGTTTGGGTGTGCAATAAGGTTTCTGAAGTATCATTTTCACCCTAGGGGTGAAATGGTGGTCAAAAAATGCTATTTTTCTGCTTTATCTAGTCCTACTTATTATCAAAACTAACCTTTTCTCTATCTTTACGCAAACTCTCCTGAAATTCAATGTCTTGAAGAGCCATTAAATTGCGTCTTTCTTGGATATTTTCCCTCTATTATCAAAAATTACATCAAATTCACAATCAACTCTAGTACTGTATCTATAATACATAAATTCAGTTACAATTTAAAAAAAATCAAGATCATGATGTTTGTATGAACATTTATATTCTCAAATTAACACATATATAAATAAATGTTGTTTGCATATTTCAGGGGGTCTGAAGGGTTTCCAAAACATCAGATGCCTGTGAAATTTTAATTTTAACCTCCTATTTCAGTTTTCTTAATTTTTTTGTTATACACAACTGTACATGTACATAATCTATTTAAGTGGGTAGTTGGGGAGTAGGCAAGAATGGTCTTTAGGGTTGAAAAAAATTATTTAAAAGTTATATATACAAAGCACCAAATATAAGATCAACAATACTTCTGCATGAAAATTATTCATAGATTAATTACAGTAGATTCTGCTTCTGATACTCTTCTCCTTGGCAGCTGTATCTGTGGAAAGAAAGAAATGGAGAGTTTGACATTGCCATGGAGAATAGTATTTTCACTTACCTGGGTAGGCCAAAAAAATTTAATATGTAGTTTCTGTATGGCCAAAACTTTCAACATTCAATGTGCCTGGCAGGTACTTTTTTTAAAAAAAAAATTTAAGCAGATGTTATGTATTTTTTTTGTGTCACCAGCTTGATTTATTCTTACTTGTGGAAGTGTGACATCATAGTCTTCCTCTAAAGATGTAGAGTTTGCCATCCTATTTTGCTAAACAAGAAATAATGTACTCATTATACTAAATGTTCCTTACTTATTGACAGGCGAGAAATAATTGTTAGTGCATGATGTGCTTTTATTAAAATAGTTTATAATCTGAATGCAATGATATTGCCATGCCTGAATCTATTACATTACCATGGAAACTTGTTCAGACTCAGGAATGAGTCCTGTGCTTAACTCCAAAGGCCTGGTAGTGGTCCCTGCAGTTGAAATTGTTACCCTTGATACTTCTGGCCCATTTTCAGATTCTTGGGTTATGCTTTGCTTACCCTAGGCAACATAAAATCAGTAAGTTTTGTGTATTTCTTTGAATTTCTTTTAACAAAAGATATATTTCATGACTAAAATTTCGTACACAAAGCCTATGGGCCACAACCCTCAGCTGAATAATACATACAAATGCAGCTCCCTCTCTTTCCCTCTCTGATAAATGAATACATTAATTCATCTCTTTTTGTGTTTTGTGGCAAAAATCTTAGTCAATTGGCATATAATTATATTGACAATTGCATACATGACAAAATTATGTTCCTGTTACTGATGCAAGAACATCTGTTTTCTGAAAATTTCATTTTCGTTTTCACATATCTTTGTATAATTAAACAAGAAATATTTAGAACTGTGAAAATTTTATCTTACATATAAGAGTACCAAATGACTATCTTGCAAAAAAAAAGGGGTTGGATGGGTGGGTGGTTACCAAAATCTGATGATCTAATTCTAATTATTTCTTATTTTATTGACAATAATGATGCCATATGTTTGAATAAGGGTATACTACATGTACCAAGGAAACTTGTTCATTCTCAGGAATGGTTCCTGTCCTTAACTCAGGAGGCTGAGGGATGGTAGTGGTGCTTGCAGTTGGACGTGTTGTTTCTTTTGAGATTTCTTGCATTGACTCTTTAGACTTCTGGGTTATTCCTCGGTTCTCCTAAACAACACAAAACAAATGGTTTAAAAAGTTGCAAGAATAATAAATCTACATTTCTTAAAATATACATTTAATGTCAATGAATCAATCAAGAGCAATGAGGGGAGGAAAACATTGGTGACCAAAGATTACAAAGCTCACCTTGACAAATATAACTGATCTCAATGACAATTTTTATGCGAAGTATCATTCATTGACAAGGCATTATGCAAAATTAAAACATCAGATACTTACACTGATCATGATGATAATGGTCCCTTGATACTTTAGTTTTTTTAATTCTTGTGGAATGCAAGGAACCGAAATAAATTTCCGTGCACTGTCCAAAGTGTAGAGGTAGAAGTCTTTGCCTTCTAGCTTTCCTGGATACAAATTTCTTATCTTGTCCTTAAACTCTTCCTCAGTTTGATTCAATTCAAATTCTACTTGATCACCTTTGTAGTTTTTATACACTGAAGCTGGATATCCTGTAATTATTTAACACCAAAAACAACTTAAATACCAAATTATCTTTTCAATTTAACCTCTCATGTTCAATCAAATGAATTAAATGTTTCTTGTTTCTACAAATTATTTTACTTGCATGATCAGCATCATCATCACTGTCATTATGTGTAAGAATTATTATAAGAAAGAGCTGCAACAAATTGCATGCATACCCCATTCCTGTATTTCCATATTTCTCCCTTGGTTCTTTTATTGAATGATCAGATGTATTTGAATTATAATGTCCATTAGCAACATTTTTCATAGTACAGTAAGTCAAGGAGAATAATTAATAAAGGAATTTGTACTTTGACAAAAAGCAAGAGTTATCTTTCTTGTTACATGTAATTTATTGATGATCCTTTTTGTCAGTCTCCCATGCAGAGTTGTCGTTCGTTACTCTCTAAAACACCTCTGCAATGGACTCATGTCAAGATTTTTGACATAAGGTATAAAACACAGCATTTCAAGGATTATTTCAAATTTAACTAATAGTTTTTAATTTACTAAGTAAAATACTACCTTAAAAGACAATCATTATAATTAGCGCAGGTATAAAATGATAATTCATTAAAACAAATGCACTATTTCTCGGCTTATCACTGTCAGTGACATAAGTGAGCCAACAATAGAGGTGAATGTATGAGCCGATGGTTGAGAGTGCCTATTTGTACGCATACCACATGTGATTTATGCAATTAAATGGGGAAAAAAATTATATTACCAAATCCATGTTGTTGATGAATAGGAATGTTTGGATCCATCTTTGATAATCTGGGTAAATTGGACCCCTCCGGTAAGAAATACATCTTAAGTTTCAATTTCTTTGGTGGAGGGCCTCTTTTTTTTGGAAGTAGCCTCTGTCGCTTTGGCAATTTTGAGCTATCAAAATGCTTAAGAAGATTCAATCCTGTTAAGGCATTTTGAAACCTTTCCTTGTAGTCTTCAATGTTTGACATCTGGAAGTCATCATCAGAATCTGTAATTAAAATATGAATTAATTAATTACAATACAATGGATCAATTTAATAAGTTAGACAGTGGGCTCTATGCAGACATATGATAGACTACGGTATTACAACTTTTCATAAACACTGCATCACA